CAAGAGTATGGGCATGTGCTGGGCTGGGATATTAAAAAAAAAAAAAGAGCTACAGAGCATTTTTTAAAGGAAAATGCCTCCATGTGATCCTTGGAAACTATATACCTGTGTATGTGTATGCCCATACAGACATACACACTATTAGGGCATCCTGCCCTCATCTGCTCTGGTGCAACTCTTTCTGATAACATAATCGAGGTCATCTAATGGAAGGAAATCACACTAGCAAAAATAAATTACTCAGGTTCAGATGATTTTGGAAAGCATGGGAGAAATAGAAAGGTGAATTACAGTGTAAAGACAGCAATCAGTTTTTACGTGAAAAATCAGATGATGGGGTTACCTGATGCATGAGTACTACCCAGCCACTCTGTAACTTTCAAAGAGGGCTGAAAGGCTGAATTAAAGGCTGAAGGAGAAGATATTTGCAGAGATAGTCACTGATACTAAATGCAGAAAGATGAAATAAGATCAGGAAATGCAAAAACAATATAAGAGACAAGCCTTAGAAAACATTTATATCAAGCTGATTACAAAATTAGCTTGGTGATATTACAGTTAGGCTTTGGCAAAAAATGGGCAATATAAGGTAAAACTAAATTTTTAATACATTTTTCTAGTCTACAACAAATTTAAAAAATCATGGGTATGGATTTCATCTACAATAATCAATATTAGACAGATGAATAATGAAACCCCTTGTTCTAGTAACATACAACATCTTATCATAAATGTTGCTAACAGTGTAGATTCTCATTAATAGTGGGACTCAAGAAAAGCTGAATGGATTAACTAGGTTGTCTATAAGGTAACTGTGACTAAACAAATAGCTGGCAACATTTCATTATGAGACAGGGTCTGCATAAATTAAAAAATTACAATTATGTCAGGAACTACATATAAATGAAGCTGATTGTAATACACCAGGAAGTTCATTGTTACTATTCACTATGAATCCACATACATAAAAACTTTGCTTACTCTTGTTTTGCTCCCAGCATGCAGTGTATATTAACCTGTCCAATTTCACATAGTAACCAATTGTGACTATTACAATCCATATAATTTATCAGATTTTAAAAAAAAGAAAAAAAGAAAAAAAAGAAATCCAAGCAACACCTTTCCATATGGTCAATTAGTAAAGTCATAAAATGCAGCAAATATATGATGCTGTATTGAACATCTGTGCTGGTTATCCTATGGGAATTTTTAATAAAGGACCAAACAGCATATTGATGTTAATTCTATGTTACCGGGACTTTAAATAAAAAACTAAAATAAATAGCATCCATTAAACTGATCATACTGTTGTAACTCAAATTGTGTTTATTATGCTAATGGAACATGAAATTAAGAAAAAGACCTTTATGCCAGTGGAATTAATTAATGAGCTTTATGAAGGCATTGGGATGTAATTTATTTCTAGATAAGTAAGTCTAATTTGCAGTTCCATGGGTCTCTGCAATGCTGATTGTAATAGTTATTCCTGCAGATGTGCTGCTCACAGCATGTCTTTCCATTAGAACTGAACACCTCATTATATAAACTGTACCTAATTAAACATAATACAGTGGTGACTTGTTAAACTGGCCTTTTTAAGTCAGCAGCTGCCTAAGCTAATAATACCATATACAAGATTTATATCATCTACCATATAATACTGATATTAAAATATACTGCCCAAGGGATTGACGACTAATTTACCAGTATGTAACAGGTATACTTCAGATTCTGCAATAGAGATTAAAGACTACTAGTCTATAAAAATCAAATGAATTAAAGTCAATTTGGAGTCCTAAATAACTATAAAAGTTTTTTAACAACTTTTCTCTTCTAACAGTTTATTAAAAAAAAAAAACATAATCAGAGAATAACACTTCTCCTATGTTCTTTTTCCATATGTGATGGGCCATTTTTCTTATGTGGTCTGAATTATTACAACATTTGAACACAATTAGGTATGTGCATACTGCCTTTGTTTCAGCCAGAATAAAAGGAAAAACTGCAAGACAGATACAGCTATTTCTTATATTTTGCATGTTTGATTATGTGACTATTCTGTACATGTCCTTTCCACCAAACTGCAGATAGATCTCATATTCAAAACATGACAGTCAGGCTCCATGAAGTCTATTTTGGTCAGGAAACAAGGAAGTCAGAAAATACACTGAGAATAGACTGAATTTCTCATGAGGTAACATACATTTGAAAGCTACAAAATAATATTTTGGATAAACCATGCCTAATCATGAAAACTTTCCATTCTGTATACCTCCTGTGGTTTAAGAATTGCTTTCTATTTCTCTCTTCTTCAGACGCTGAATCCACTGTCACCTTATGTTCTAATGTAGAGTAGCATTGCTTCTGTTCTACCCATTTTGCCAGCGTCTGAAGGAAGTGGATACATTTTGCTCACAGATATATCAGGGGAGCTACATAGCTACACCTATTCCCCAGAGAAGCCTGTGATTCTTCTTTCCTTTTATCTCAAGTATGCAAAACTGGCTCATTTTCCATTCTTACTCTACGCCACAACTGAGCAACCTGAAGACATGTCAGCAGTCCTGCATATTGCTGCCATCTCTCTCTCTGAATGAAAAAAATGAGGCTCAAATTCTAAACATCTTTGGACATAGGCCACTTCAAGCAACACCTTTAAAAACATGTATAAATTTAGTCACGGTCTTGAGTCCATTGATGTCCAGTATCAAGAATCAAGTACAAAGTTGAGAAATGTCAATGTGTTTTTTCGGTATGGAACTGAAACTTACTTTCAGTAAGTTTCTGACAATATTCATTCTCTTGAACAACCTTCAACATTTTCTTGCATGGAGAAGTTGGAAAAAACACAAAAAAAGTAAATGTAAACTCCACAAGTTTTGGAGGAAAATATTCAGAATTAGATCAGATTTGTTTTGAGTCACTTTCTCTGTCTTACTGAGCACATAACAAAAGATAGTGTTCTTCAATAAACTGGTGTTTTATTTTTGTTTTCAGTAAGCTGTGACAATCAAACCACAATCCTCTTTAAAGACTATTGCTCTGATGGCAAACTCTGTCACTCTCATACACCTCAATATCTGCAGTGTCATACTTTACTTTTAAGGTTTCATGGTAAAGACAGTTTGACATTCACTCCCCTCCTCTTGCCACAATATCTAAATAATTCCAGACTATAGTGTGAAATACATGAACCACTGAAAATTAAGGTGAAATTACAGTTTGTTCTAATGTTACAGATTCAGAGAAGAAAGATGTGTTCTGTCCTGAAGGCTGTGCATCAAGTAACAACACTATGTTCAATTTAACTCTATTGGCAGAATATGAAGAACAGGCTTCCAGACTGAAACAGCTCGTGCACAACCAGCTTATGCTACTAACAGAAAGCGGATTCTTGTGGTAGAGCTCAATACAGAAGAAACTCAGAAGAAGTTCAGAAGAAACTCAGCATTCCAAGATAAAGATTAAAACAGAGAACTTGCAGTTAGAAGCAAAGACTTTATGAGAAATAATTTCATTGTTTTCCATAGTCACTCTGTTTCAATTATGTCGTTACCAAGGCTGCATTTTAATTTCCTGGAAACTACCATTTGCTTCATGCTTTCAAGAGAGTTTTCAAACTATTTAATTCTTGTACTTAATTCTTTTTTCAGATTTTTATTGCAAAATCTTTCATTATAAATAATCACTGTACTAAAACAACTTCCTTTATTTTAACAGATACTGTTACAATTCAAAACCAGAGTCTAATTTTTTCTTAAAAGTCCCATTTAAATTGCTTCACTATCTCTCAGTAATCAAATATGAAATGTAACAGAACAGCAACATAATTTGCTGAGGGTAAAATTTAGCAGAATCAATCAACAATGAGAAGAAAATAGGAGGTCATGAGCACCCTGGGTCCATTATAATTATTATTTTTAATTAAAGTATTCCAGATACACATTAATTTTCATTGCTCACTACTTTTATTGTTTGACTTGCCTTCAAATGAGAACTGTGAGCACTTTGAAAAATGGGTTGAAAGACTCTCTTGTTTCACAACAGACTGGGTAGTTACTTCTCCATTTGCTGCCAAAATGCATTTTAGTAATGTATCATAGCTAAACTCCTCCATGACTCACCACAGATGCCTTCTGTCTTTTAAAGCAATCTAAAACAAGGAAAACATTTTCTCCATATCCCATCAGTGAAAATACAGAAATATCACCAAAGGTTTAAAGACATCTAACTGCATTTTCTAAACTGTTGTAATTTAAAATTAAGAACCTTTTTTAGTGTCTCCAAAGAGAAAAGAAAAATCCTGTCATTGTGCTCCTGAACAATATGACATCTTTAAAAATATTAAAGACAAACAAAAGTATGATAAAACAAAATACTGACCCCTTTAATGAGTTCAATAGAAGATTAACACAATTAAAATTCCAACTATTTTATAGAAGAATTTTACAGTTTCTTATCCTGGTTCTGGGGAAAAAATAATTCTAAATGCAACAAGAAGGGGGGATTCACAAGCCTACTTATGTGACTGAGTTTTCAATTTACAGTTTCAGGAAATAAATGAAATTGAGACAAATATCCTGATAATTTGATGCTTATGTGAGCTCAGCCTCTAAAACCTTTCTTAAAAAGTGACTCTCAACTGGTCTGATCTCACAGGTGCCTAGGAATACTGGCTTGAGAGTTATACTACCTATTTAACTTCTGACTTTTACAGTTAAGCAGTTATTCTGGAAGCATAAAAAAGATCTCAGACTGTCACTTGTAGCTGGTTTTCAACCTCCTTGAGAGCTGCAGAAAGGCAAACAATTGGGATCAACTGAATTCTCTCAGAAACATTCTTCCCCAGAGGGAACTAAAAATATGCAATAATATGGTCAGCAGGGAAAAAATTATTCTGCAATAAACGCCTGACAAAAAAACCCAGTTATTTTGGCCTATTACTGCTACCATAAAGCCAAAAGAAGCTGTTGGATGAACGAAAACATGAAATTACTCACATTTTTCCTCTCAAACCAAATGCAGAGGGTTATTGTCCATTGCATTGCCGAAGACTTGATTCACAGATACTTTAAAACTTTAGTCTTTTTTTCTGAAGTTCTTCAAAACATAAAAAAGACTTTTAAAAAAACTTTAACACACCATTGACTGAAAAATCAGTCTTACTTGGTGAACTGGGACAATTGCAGGAAACATAAACCGCATCTTCTTCCAAATAACTCCACAACAAAGCAAAAACTCCAAATTCACACTCAAGACAACTGAAAAACAGGAGAAAAGTGACAAGCATTAATGCTTTGCACTATCACTTCTCCAACAAGACAATCATTTCTGGAAACTGAAAAATTACTTGGAAGACAAAGAGAATGTATATGCATGTTACTTAGTATTCTTTTTACAGCAGAACTCGGATACCATGACACTGAGAGGTCACGCACACACCCTGACAGAACAGAACTGACAGGTTTGTTAATTGGTGACAAAGTTACAGCACTAATATCTTTTCAATTATAACAATATTTTCACAATTTGAGAGGTCAGTCTTCATTCCCCACGTGCATACCATAAAGAACACTAATGAAATGCTGTGTGTAGAATTCAGACAGTTGTTTCTGTTCCCATCAAGGACAGAAATTTCCACTGACTTCAGTGTAAACAGAATCAGGCCCTTCATGTGCGTATTAAATAAAGCAGACACTTCTGTCTCAATCTTCTCTCAATACATGCTTTTGATGCCACAAAGGAGATAAGATGATCTGATAAAAGTAATAGATGAAAGTATATTATTATCTATACTATCTCCATTATAAGATATAAAATACTCTGTAGTGTCTGTGTGTATTACCATAAGCTACAGTGAAAGTTGACCTGTTTTCCAGAGGACAGATTTTTAAATGTGATGCTGAAGCAATTTTTGATGACATACTTTTCTACAACATTTCTCATGCCACTGAAGATTAGATATGTCTGCAAAACAGAATATAAATACCGCACCAGAATTTTATCTTATCCCTTAGCCACTAGCTATGAAATAAACATTCCAATATTGGTTTCCATATAAATATGAATCAGTGGAACTTCCTTGGAATTTTTTAAAAGACAGACATTGTTACTGTCATGTCACTAACAACAAGAATTACTATTTTTTAATTGCAAGTTCTCTTTCCTCCCTCTCGGGAGGCTCCAACATAGAATCCCTCTACAATATTCTTTAAAAGCACTGGCATTCTGAGTTAGATTTCTTCAGCTTTGGAAGCAGATTCTCACAGCACCAGGGGAAAAACAGTAAAAAATCCACAACTGAAAGCACAGCTTCCCCAGTGACGGAATACCCCCATTTGGTAGGCCACAAATCTGTAGGGAGAGACAAAAAGGTGGGGTTTGCACACCAGCTGGCCTTTGTGGAGAAGAGATGCGAGCTATTCTCATTCAGATGGTGCCTCAGGAGACTCACAGGCTAAGCCAGTACAATCAGGTGACATTGTTTTCAAGACACAGAACACCAGTGAATGACAATTTAATACATTAGGAGGTGCACTGGAGTAGTACTACAAGACCGTAGTAGGCATGTGTGATGTGCTCTGGAGACTTTAAACTCCATAAGGAACAGCTTATACAAGGTGGGAAAGAAAGGAATGTTATTGACTTTACAAAGAGGGAATCAAGTCAGAAAGGATTTTGGCAGAAAGCTACTGAATGATTAGCATGTGAAGGAATCCCAGGCACAGTGGATCCCAAAATAACACTACTGCTTGCCAAACACCTCCTAGTCTCTGTCCTGCATCAATTACTGAAATACAGACATCATAATACTGAACAGTGCTCAAAATTATTTTTTCTGAAACTAAGGCCATCACACATTTAACACAAAACCTACAGGGAAGACATGTAGTGGAACAAGGTAAGGGGGAAAAACCCATAAAGATGCTTTTGATTCTTCCTCTCTGCATAAAGAGCCAGATTCTCAGCTAATGCATAGCCCATTTTTCCATTCATACCTATTGAGCTCTGACATTCTGTACAACTGGTATGTTTAACAGCAGGTTAAGAATAAACTTGTAAACCCAGCTTTAGTACTTTCCAGACCCACTGAAGCTCATAACGTGGTGAAAGGTCACAGAGCTGCTCACATTTCTACCCTTTGCCCAACAATACCACAACTTCAGCCACCCACAAGGTGAAAACATGCCTCAGACACCAAGTTGTCAAGCATGTTTGGGTCTTTATAAAAGAGAAAAAAGCTCAGTTAAATCTAAAAGCACACACACAGATTCTGACCTCTGGTGAGCAAAAAGAATGTGTATTTGTGCCGCTTTTAGCTTTTATTGGTTTCCCACCAAATCTCTTAATACTTCTTCTGACTTAGTCCAAATTTTCAACTTTTAAATAACTACATTTGCAGCTCTGCTAATTTTGCTGCTCTGGGAACACAGTGAAATCTGGCTGCCACAACTGTGGCTCTTTTGTGTTCAAAACTGCATCACTTATGTATTTAAAAATACATATGATATTTATAAAGCCTACTCAAAACATTACTAAATTGTCCCATTTTCATGTTTTCATGACAATTTATATGTTTTCCATATGGGCAAGTGCTGACAATATGATACAAGCTTAATGGAACAAACTGTGGTTCTTCTTTATTGTCTTGGCATCAAAAATCTGCACTTGCATAAAAATAACTCTCTCCTCTAGTTTAAAGGGATGACTTTTCATTAGTGCAATTTTAAGGGCATTTCTCTCTCTCTCATTGTACTTAAAAATGTATCAGAAATTTTCACTGCTTACCTTACCATTGTATTGCCACTGTATTTGGGAACATTACAAATCTATTGTAAAAAGCAGCTGACATCCAGAGTGCTGAATTATTCAGATGCATTTTCTATAACTTAGTGTGAGCTCCACAAAAGACTCAGGTTTGGAAGGGGAGGAAAACATGCCTCACTCTTTTCATCCACAGGGAGACAGATACTTCCGCATCACTCCTCTACTTCTGCTTTCTCCCTCCAACTTTCCAAAACCAGGAAGCGCTAATGCCTGCAAGCATTAGGAGAAGCCTGTGTGCTAAAAGTCTAAGGCTGGAAAAGCTGACAGCAAATGATTTCCTTAAAAGTTCTCAAAGACTCCAATATGGCACTGAAAAGGACTAATATTCCTATACTCCAACAGCATATGTACTTCAGCCATCTCCATCCAGTCTCTACTGCCTCCCTCACCCTACCTCACCACAAAGCTGTCCTTGCCTTCTACTTTTCTCCTCTTCCAATTGTTGCAGTCCTAATGTAGAGAAAGCTTTCCCTGACCTGAAGCTCCTCAGTAGACAGTCAGACCAGCTAACCTTCACTTCATTTAATCCAGCTCCTACACAAACTTCACAACATGACAGACATGTCAAATGAGCCATCCACCAGGCTTCAGACAGCAGTTTCTAGGGCATAAGAGACACAGCTGATGGAAGAGATTGTTGGAGGAAGTCAGGAAGACAGGAAGCCATAGGTAATATCACAAGTGTCCTGCTGAAAACTGACAGCTTAATGGGTATGATAGTGCTGGTTATTTTATGCATCTCAAGTCTAGGCCTTGAATAATACTACTTACTACTGAGAAGCTAAAGTGGAAAATAGATTTTGCCAGAGTTAATAACAAAGGCTAATGCTATAGAAGTTGTGGGTAACAGGCACCACCTCAGTCAGTCTAAAACATTTTACTTTCTAAGAACTGAAAGTTGATGAAAGTTGCTATACTAATGGAACAAGACCAAGTTAATTCACCCACAGATAAAGCAGCTGGTATCATACACAAACCTTCTCCTAGGCAGCCTCTCTCTGGGATAGACATCGGGCAATCTGTTTAAGAAGCAGGCTTAAAAGATAGCTGACTCAGACAGAGTCCCTGAATGAGCTTCCTGTAAACCAGCTAGAGATACTCAGCCACCAACTGGTGCCTTTTCCTTCAAGGAGAACGCAGCACTTCCACCAACTGTTCTCTTTTGAGGTGATTCACCTTGGTGACACTACTGTCCCTAGACATGCATACACTTCCATTTGTAACTCTCATGCCTGATGGGAGAAAATCTGCTGTGCTAAAACACTGGAACAGTTCATGGATTGTTACTTCCTTTTTTTAGCAAGACTTTTTTTTATCACGTGTGTGGGAAATGCACTTCAGGACAGTTTTACTGCATTCTGTACACATCCTCCTATGCTCACAGCAAACTGACACTTTGTATTGGTTTGGGCTGAAGTAGTTATTTTTCTTCACGGTAGCTTGTATGGGGCTGTGTTTTGGATTTGTGCTGAAAACAGCATTAATAATTCAGAGATGGTTTAGTTACTGCTGAGTAGGGCTGACACAGCCTCGAGGCCTTTTCCGCTTCTCATCCCATCCCACCAGTGAGTAGACCAGAGGTGCACAAGAAGCTGGGATGGGACACAGCCAGGACAGGTGACTCCAAATGATTGTAGGGATATTCTACATCATATAGCATTGTGATCAGCGTGGAAATCTGGGGGAAGAAGAAAGAAGGGGGACATGTTTGGAGTTATGGTTTTTTGTCTTCCCAAGTGACCACTTTGCCTGATGGAGACCTCCTTCCCTGAAGATGGCTGAATACCTCCCTGCCTGTGGGAATTGGTGAACAAATTCTTCGTTTTGCTTTGTTTGTATCCACAGCTTTTGTTTTACTTATTAAACTGTCTTTATGTCAACCCACAAGTTTTCTGACAATTACTTTTCTGATTTCCTCCCCTGTCCTGCTGGTGGGGGAGTGGGCAAGCAGCTGTGTGGGTGTGGGTGTTAAACCACAACACACCCACATGAACAGCAACGTAGCTTCAGCAGAAGTCTCCGTTGTTGACATTCTCCAGCTCATTTTGTCCTCTTTAATCTGACTCATGTTTTTTTCACCCACCCTTCATTACATTTCCTTTAAATGCAATCTAAGAAAGTTCAAGCAATAATTTATTTTTCTTTAGCAGATATTTTAAGGGTAGATCTCTCAACAGCATTTGTAAGATGAACATTAATAGCAAACAAAACAAGCTTCTGAGGAACAGAATCTAATAATGACTTCTCTTGGTTTACTTCTAGATTGTTTTCCTATTAGGCACAGTATACATATATAGTTTAATTAGGATAAATTCTCTGCTTGCTTATGATCTCATCCTTTGCAAAACTACCACACCAGCAGTGTTGAATAGGCTATAAATCACTCGGATGTTCATGCTCAGTGTTGAATTTCTCTCACCAATTAAACAGGGGT